GGCGGGACTGCAAATGAGAGCGGCTCCGGTACAGTTAGGTCGGCGGCGGTTTCCGCTAATGACGGCGACGCTCGTGGACAATGCCGGGGCGGTGTCGTGCCCGCCGCCCACGCCTTCATTGCGCAATATCGCTGACCGAACTGCCGAGTTTATCGAAGATTCTGGGTTGTAACTTTCGAGTTTTCGTACCACGTCAACTGCACTGAGTAGACTACGGGTGCGATTTTTTTTCCGCCAATCACCCTGTTTATCACTACCCCTTGTTTTGGGCAATGTCATCTCTAGTCGTTTTTTCTTTCTTTTGTCGTTTTTTCTATTTTCCTGGTTTCTTTATTATGTCTCCAATTCAGCTTTCCGATTTTTTTCAAGCAAGTTTTCGATTCACACTTTCGTTTTTATTAAGCAGTTAGTGACCACCACCGTAAATGCTACTGCCGAAGAAAATAGTGATAGCGTAGCTTATTTCTTTTCCGTCGCAATGTCAGGTATGTCGTAAGCAGTATGCTAAATATGAGGATATAGTCTTAACATAAAGTTCGGGAAATTGCGGATTAATAAATATTTGCATTTTTTAGTCAAAATCGGGACTTTCAATTGTTTTTGTATTTCTTCCGAGTTCCTGGGCATCTAACGTAATCTTAGATGCCTTCGACATGACCGGAGGTTGCTATTTTCTTGCAATTTCTGCGCGCCCTGGAAATTAGTATCATATGTTGCAGTGGCGGATCTAGAGACGAATTCTAGGAGGGTAATGTTTTTTATTCAAAAGGTTTTGGTCGAATGTGTCATATATTATAGAGTCATATAAGTCAGCTCGTGTCGCGACACAACTTAATACGTTTTAATAGTTATTCGAAAATATTTTTACTTGAAAGTTTCGTGACAAGTTAAAATTAATAGTTACTGAAAAATTTTGAGAGAGGAAATTTTCCTTATTTCCCTCCCCTTGGATACACGCATGTATGTAGATTGTTTCATTAAGGAGCTGGGCCCATAACAGTTCCACAATAAGAGCGCGCGCCGCTGTTTTAATGCGGTTTGTCCCGTTATGGTTGATGGCGTTTACACTCGGCGGTAAATGATGCGTGTGCATGCTATTGCCGTGGAGGCGGCTCATTGTAGTTTCAATTCGTTCCACCTAGATAGCAGGAGCAGACTCTGTTTCTGCAGCATGCGGGCTAGTGCGCCGCCTCTTCCAATACCGGTACTCGCCTTATTCCACTGTATGCCCCCAACA